GGTTTGTCCAACCGATCTGAGGATTGCGACTTGCAGCATTGGAATTGGGATTAGAGCATGTTTGGAGGCCGAAACGGGAGGTACAATGGGGTTTGTGCCCTTTGACTAGTTGGATTGCCCCCTTCTTGGCTTTTCTCGTTTGGCCCTTTTCGAGGCGGGAATGTTTCAAAACTGGGAAATCAACATCACCCCCAAATGAACATCTCCCAAAGACAGCCAGAGTTGAGCCAGCCCCTTGTTGAATCATGTTTAAACAACTTCCTGTTGTTTTCACTTCACGTGAGCCATACGAACTGTGCAAGCCAACCTTTGGCCCTGCCTTCGCCTCCTTCTCCTTCGCCTCCGGCTCCTCCTTGGCCTTCTCAGGCTTGGACGTCGCCTGGAATTTCGGGGAAGAGACATGCGAGGCCAGGGCCAAATGGCGTCGTTGACCAACCCAAAGGGGGAGATGGCTGCCATTTTTTCACATCGCGGAAGCTTGTCGCACCGTGTGGGCAACAGACCCTTTCAAGCTCAAAATCACAGGTCATGAGGAACTGTTGGCTTTTGTTTGGTCCACCTTTTGGGAGTTTTCACCATGGGTACGCGAGGGTGTGTGTTTCTAAGGGTATCTTTGTTGGGGTGGTTTAAGAGAGAATTCAATCGGACCCCACCGATTTTGGGGTCCCAATTTGGTCACAGCCCTGGTGCCAGCTTCCAGTTCTCAACCGGAACCGAAGGGTTGAAGCACTGGTGTCCTAAAGCCGAAAGTTGGCTTCCCTTGATTCCAACCTGAAAAGGGTAGCCTCTAAAAACACAGACCCATTACCCTCCCACCAATTGACAGGGAACCTGGCAAAAAAGGTCCTGGAAGCTCCATTTTTCTTCTAAAGGGACAACCTGTCACGTTCCATGCTCATCTGGTGGGAGGGTAAGTTATCTTTTGCCCCCTTCGGATCAAATGGAAACAAGCAGGGCATGGACTTAACATCAAATTGAGGCCAGTGGATTTCCACATGAGGAAGACGTTGTTTGTTTGTGGCATGTTTCAGTCCAACCAAAAGGGCAGGTGGAAGCCATCGGTCAATATTTTTCGCACCCAAACTGTACCAGTTCAGTTGGAATACGCTGCAACACGGCCATGATGTACTGCTAGATTCGATTCCTTCCAAAGGGACACATATTCGGACGGGTCAGGTGCAGTCATCACCGCTTCCCTTGAACACCAACCGGGAATTGTACCACGCTATGTGGCCGAGACATAGAACCACAGAAAGTGAACAGAAAGGCAAGCTAAGTCTGGCAATGCTCACATCAATGACCTCCCGGGGGAGCGGGGGGAGGGGGTATTGGGGCTGGGCTACGGATAAGCCGAGGATGAGCCTGAACAAGTGATCGCCCCATTCCCCTCTAACCCGCGTTAGACTTGCACCATTTCAAGAAACATTGCCCAGGTCGTCCACGCCTCTGGTCGCGCCTTCTCACGGTTCCGTCGACGCTCTCCTAGCACAGGACTGTTGCCAAGGGCGTTCATGTTTTTTTTCTGTGGAAAACAAACAACATATGCCCTTATATTTCCGCACGAATCCTATCCCAATATTTCTGCATGTGTCCCTATATTTTCGCCCGCCTCGAGATGCCTCGGCCTCGCGGCGAGAGTTGGGCGAGCTGGGAGAGTGAGTTGGATGCTCCCTTTGGCCTTTGGCTTCTGTCCCTTTCTGTTGATCCCAGAAGGGGTCCGGTGAGGAACCTCAGTGCATGAATCTTGGGAGTTGTGTCCTTCCATGTGTGATCATCAGTTTATGGCCTACGCCCAGAAAGCCAATTGTCATTGCCAAGAAAGCACTGTCTGGCCTGTGGCTCCATGAAGTCTTCCTCCTTTGGGAAGCACAGCAACTCCACCTGAGGTGGTGCCAGTGACGGTTCTCAGGTGCCAACAAAAGGGTGCCTTTCCCTGAGGCCCAGGATATTGCCAGGTACTTGGATGGGCTGCGAGTTAGCAAAGTGGCTCAGCACTCAACCTCCCTTACCCTTGTAAGCGGGGCCAGACCATCTAAGTACCGGTCATCTATTGGTTCTATAGCGGCGATCTCCCCTGCAACATCAACATGGAACCCACACAAATGGTACCAAAAGACCTCCAGAAATGCGGGTTGTTCTCCCTTTGGGGGTTTGTCACGCCTGGAAAACAACATCCCGCTAGGTGACTAGAAACAACCACATGGTAGCAAAGGTGCTGACTGCGGCATGAGCTTTCCAAACCCACATCAACTGTTTCAGGGATGAATGGTTCAAACGCGGCGATTTTCTTTTCTCCTTTCGGTCGTGTACATCGCCTGGGCGTGGCACCGGACCTCCTACACGCCATTTCAGCAAGGGCCAAGGGCTCCAAATTTTGCCTCCGAGCGCCGGCTGTGTCGGTGGAAAGTTCGGATCACCCGACCTGGTGGATTTTTTTGTTTTCCCCACCAACTGATCCAGACCCTCCAAAATACGAGCCCTAGCGAACTGAACCAAGCTGTTCCAACAAAGCATGAACAAACACCCACGTCAATGGATACCCAATCGTTTCAAAGCATGAAGAACACCCTAAATGGACATCCCATCAAAATGAGCCAGTGCGATCTTTCCCTGGCTCGCGAACTCGCTCGCGAACTCGACGAAGCGCCTGGGCGTTGGTGTCCAAGGAGTAGTCCGCGGGGCTCTTTTGGAGATCGAGCTCCTTGCCCTTCAGCTCCAAGCCCACCTACGAACGAGGCGTCAAAATGGGGCTGGGGATTTGGACCCCCAAAATGGGTGGGTTTTCTTTTAAGCTCCTTGAAAGGTGAACAGGGTACCCTCAAACAAGCCACACTCAAACATGTGGATAGATATGAAGGGAGGTATGGACCTGCTGACGGGTTAACCCCATATAACCAAACAGCGGCCAAGCAAAAGAAGCTCCGGCACGTTTTGTTTGGACGGGCCTCTGGGTTTTGAGAGAAATCTGGGGGGTCCCCCACCTTTTGTTGGCGAAAGTTCTCTGCAACAAAGCCCCTTGGCCCTCTGCTTTGAGGAACTAGGCCTTGCTGGGTTTACCCCTACCAGGGGACCAAAGTGAGGCTGAATCCGACGCCAGCTGCTTGATTTCCACTTCGTCTCTCTTCAACACCATCCAATAAAATAGTCTTCGCAATTTGAGGCAGAACGTCCTGGGACCCAACAACTCTCACATGCATGTGTTTTTGGTGCCGCAAAACAATAAAACAATTGCCAGTCATGAATGTTTCTCTCTACCTCGCTACCCAACAACTAGAATGGCACAATATTTCACAGACTGACGACATTTACTACGTGCATGCTGAATGCATGCATGCAGATACTACAGATACGCTGGAAACATATACCAACTATGGCGCCAACTTCCAACACCTCGCTTGCCAGTCATGACCATGTCCCCCCTAAACCCTACTTGGAGACACAAAAATCAGCTGGCCGTAGGCTGTATCCCAGTCCCCGAGGCGAGAAAAACCAGCGAGCGACCAGGGTTTGGGCTCATGGATCTTGCAGGGCAGCAGCCTCCAAACTGCAAAAAGTGGCACAAAGTTTTGCACCGCGCTGGAGGTTTGGGGTATGAATTGCGATCAAACAGGCCGGGCAGGCGGATGACTCTGGGACTTGATGGAAAGTCCTTGGCGGCAAATACGAAGGGCTCAGGGTGCGATTCGGCCCCGTTCTTGGTTGCTTTTGACCCCCCTGCAAAAGGCATAACTTTTTGGGGGTTAGTAGAAGACACCTCTATTTCACAAAAAGTTAGTCTAAAGATCCAACCCAATAGCAGTCAAGCGTTTAAGCAGCAAATGCGCCCCGTGTTCACCACAACTTGGATTCGACCGTTTAAATCGAAGGCGTCAAATGTGAATGATCCAAACCACAAACAACCTCCTTTGAGTCCCTTTGAGGGCCAAGTATGGGGTTGCAAACCTAGCTGGGCTGTGCTAGGTTTGTTACCCCATAACCAAACATAAGTGACCAATCAGGAATCCATGGCGGAAACTGGAAAAAAGCCAGGAAATGAATGTGGCCGCTCAAAAACACGATGGCTGACCCAGACCCCCAGTATCCTTGGGAGTACAGACAACAACTCCTCCCCCCCGCCTTTAAAAAAATGCACTTGGCAGGGTTCCATTTTCTGAGGGGAAATCAACCATTTGGGGGAATCAAACGGGTGGTCAAACATGGGAACCCTGGTAAATGGAAACCAGGACGAAAACTTGCGGGGTTTCCTGGCGGTTTAATCTTGGCCCTTTTCCTGGATTACCATTCACCCTGCCATCCATCCATCCATCCATCCATCCATCCATCCATCCATCCATCCATCCATCCATCCATCCATCCATCCATCCATCCCATACCCAAACAATGGAACCCCACTGGGAAGCAACTCTCAGGGCGCCCGCACGCCCACTTCTTCGCCAGTTGGCTCAGCGGCGCTGCCAGCGCACAGCTGCCCTTCCGAGCACCACATGGAAGACTCCAAAATCTGCAAAGAAGACCTACCACTGGCCATGGGAAAAGAACCTCTCTAATTAACCAACGCCACCTCATTGAAACAACCTCCCGCTTCCCCCGTTACATGGCTCAGACTTCTAGCGAGCCGAACGAAATAAGGCATAAGGTCTCCCCAACATTCTTCACCAGCGCTGCCCTGCGCCCGGCCCTTTTTACACCGCCGAGGAACACAACACCCAGAATCCTCGTCAATTCTGCTTATTGTTTCCTGACAAAGGGACAGGAATGGACGCAATGGGAATTAAACCCAGGGCCACTACTGCCCGGATCTTATGGTAAAACTTTCATGGCCAGAAAACAGGCTCTGCTCACTCATTGCAAGGCTTCCGAAACTCAGTTGGTTACAGCCTGAGGCTGTTAAGGTCAGGGTGGTCGGGTTGTGCCTGCTCCGCTTTGTGCGTTGCTCTTTTTTTTGTGGTCTTGCTGTGTTTTACTCTTCTTGCTGTTGATTTGCTCTTTTGTGCTTCGCTTTGCTCCTGTTGCTCTTTGTGTGCTTGCTCTGTTCTTGTAGTCACATCCTCCTTTTAGTAGCTTCATAGGAAGGCGCAGACAAGGCAGCCTAAGCAATACTAAGACAATTCCATCAACATCCCCAAAAGAACAAGTAAGCCCAGGCCCCCAAACTGCATTTTCTTCATCCAAGCCTCCTCTTCGGTCCTCTTCAATTCTTTTTGATTAGTATTGGCTTAGCATGGCCTTGTGCTGCCTGAATGCTGATTTAGTATTGGTGTAGACTTGGTTGAGAACTGGTTTAGCGCTGTGTTGAGTATAGGGAATTGTTGGCTGGGACAAACTTTCCTCAATTCAGTATCCTGTTTCAATTCTCATAGTATTGGTTTAGTATTGCTCGGTGCTGCCTTTGTGTTGGTCCCGTATTGGCTTAGAATGGGTTCAGAATTGGTTTAGACCTGTTGTTCTTATTCTGCTTTTTAAATGAGTCTTGGGATTTTCTGCCGGAGAAACTTGCCTCAATTGATTGGCACATCTGCGACTCACGAAACTTCGCTCTCACTAAAAGAGACATGGGCACCCGAACCCCGTTCCATAAGTTCCATGCTGAATTTCTCTGAGCGGATCCGACTCGCGCGGACGTTTGCGATGCCTCGCCTTCCAGCGATGCTCGCTCTCCCCTTCCGAGAGGGCCAGTACCAGGAACTGCACGCCTGGGGTCCCGGCCGCGTCGCTTCGCGGAACCGGACGTTTGGAGGACGCCCCAAGCATGGCATGCATTCAACGCCCATTTTAAGGGAGCTTGACACCTTTCCTTTGGAAAGAGATATGTGTTTGGGTGGGTTTAAATAGCGGGAACGAACGCTGGCGACCAAAATCAATCGGCCGTCAACGGTGTTTGACTCAAAGGTTCTGTTCCCCTGTTTCTTGACCAACGGGCGTGCATCAGATTCTGTGGTTTTTAATAGTCCTTCCATGGATTTCCACGAGAAAGGAATCTCTTGGGTGATTCAAAGGAACGCCGCCCAAAAGAAGGGAAGCAAAGCACCACTGGAGCTGGGCGGTCCAAAGTGGCTGGATCACTGTAAAATCATCTTTGGGTTGGTCGAAACGATCCCCTGCAAACAGTTACTCCCCTGCAAATCAGCATGGACCGCTCCCGGCCCCCGGCCCACAAAAAGAAGCACATGTTCTAGAGGAATCTCCTGGCTTCCATATCGGAAGCATGTATGGCTCCCAGCTAAGGTGAATGGCCGAACCCAAGAGCAAAAGAAACAAGTACCCCAATCGCCATTTGGCAGGAATCCAAAGCTCAGAGCTTTCACACATGGCTGTGGGTCAAAACCAATGGTATCCCATTTCGGGGTAGGTGCACCACCCATTTTAGTCTAGTTTAGTGGGGATTGAGAGGCTCACTGGGGGTACGATTTGGATTTTGACCCATGGCCACACTATGACAACATGGGCTGTACAGCTCGGATGAATACAAACTCTACCAGGAATACTGGGTGCTTCGCGGACGATATTTTACCTAGGAATGAACAAATGAAACCTATCCGTCCCCTTGGGCTTCCTTTTGGGACAATTTAAGCATGACTCACTGCATTGGCTTCTCCATTCGCTGGGAACCGTACACTTGGACCGTGGCTCACACGGAGTGGGACCTGCCAAAAGGACCCAAAGCCGCTCAAACGGGGGGTGTCGAAGTGCGGCAAAAAGAAACGACCTATGTATCACAATATGCCAATGTGGTGCTAAACCAAAATGAAACCAATGAACCTTTGAAAACGTGATTCAGGGTTCATACGTTGGTTGAACTGACCCCCAAAAACAACAACATCAACACCAATCAATAAACAAGTCAAAACACAATCTAACAACTGACCCGCTAACATGAAATAAACAATAATGAACTATAAAAAACGAAAAACCAATATACACACAAAGCAACAAACAAGTAACATCAATGCAAGCGCCGAGCGCGATATCAGTCGGCCTGGACTGCTGGGCGCTGCATCCTTGGATTCGCTGGACGGCCGTCAAAACATGCATTTCCCTTATGTAGGTCTCCTAACATGATTAGAGTTAGGCCCAATTATATATAGAATGTATACTTTGTTGTTTGCTTCACTTTGAGTCACTGGTAAAATGTAAAATGTATCCTGAGTCTACCCCAGCAAAATGAACGAAACCTTCTGGGATAGATGTACCTCGGCCCACACAAAATGCTACACAGAAAACTAGACGGTCTGATGCTGTTCCATATTTAGCCGACCTTCTTTTGAGGAGGCCGCACGTATGAGTGCTTCCAACATTAAGGGACCATTTTGGGATAGATTTGAAGGGGCATCAAAAGCACACCAAATTTTAGGAGTTCCCCAGGTAGGAAACTCTTCCTCCGGTTTGCGCAAGGGACATGGGAACGTTTGGGCTTGTCTCTTGGGCTTGTCCCTTTATGTGTCTCAATCGACCATGGCCATAGACTGGGTGTTTTGACCGAATGTCACGTATCCGAAAGAACTCAAGGACAGTGGCAATAGAAAGTCTGATTCTCTTACCCTGCTTGGGCTTTAAACGGGACAATCCAAACACGACGTGTCAAAACCTGGGATTTGGGAACACAGTAAGACGAAAGGACACCAATCATTTGGAGGGGTCAACTCCTTTTGACACGGCTCGCTTGGTTTGGAAAAAATGGCCTGCGCGGTGCACAAGTTTGCTTCCCAACCTCAAGGGGTCGCCGAGCTGGGTAATTATCTCTCATATTAGTGACCTCCCAAGGGCTAAGTCGACTTCCTTGAGGTGACCAATATTATTTGGCTTCCAATTGAAGCCCTAAGAATGGCAAGGATTTCCTTTTGGGCCCCCTCAGCAAGCAAAAGCAGACAAAAAAAGGGCTCAACCATACGACGGCCATACGAGATCCCCAAACTGTGGATGTTACCAGGAAATTCAACTCTCAGAATCCATGTAAATGGGGTCACCCGTATGAAGACGTTGCTTCTCTTTGGTTCAAGGGTAGTTCAGCTTCCCTGGAAGCAACTCCATTGCCAGAACTCGGCAAAGGGCGGCCCACCATGACGGAATGGTGCCGCAACCCGAAACCTTACGGGGTAAAACATTGGCCATGAAAAGCACCAAAGGAAACACCACAAGCCTAAGCATGAACCATGCCAATTGGTCCCTGCAACAGCTTCCCCCAACCACATGCATACTATTGTGATTCCGGCCCATACTCAATTCATTCAACCTTAAACCCAAAATAAGTTCAACAAATATCCCAAGGGTCGATTTGCCTTGCAGCCGAAGCTCACGAAGCACACCTGGAAAGCTTCGCTCTGAGCGCCCTGCTTTGGCCATCGGGCCATCGGCCGTATCGGCCGGACTTCGAGTCGCAAGGCTCCGCTTTGAGACGAACGAGGCTAGGCATCCCTGTCGAATTTGGCCTAAGGTCGAACATCGCGAATAAGTAACTCATGTTGACCTAGTCTGACCTTCTGGTTTTCCCCTGGTGACCAGTCTTTGGCAGTTGAAAGCACTTAGAAGGAAATACAAAGGGTATGGGTTAAGTGGCTTGAGTGGATCGATGCCAGGGCTCTCAACTGCGGTGCGCACCTTCGCTTGTGGCCCCTTCCATGTCGTGGCTCAGAGCCAAAGCCAAGCCGCGACGTCTGTTCCAAAGTGCCATCCCACTAACATGTACAGCCACAACATCCTGCAACATGACACGTCGTCTACTCACCATCTGCACAAATTGCTATGGTTCAAGAAGCGGAAATATGGCAACTCCTTCCATGGAAGGCCCCGTGTCCCCCCGGATCGGTGAGCTCATTCGATTTGTTTGGTAGAACTATCGCTCTGCTTTACTCTGGAATCGATGAGCAGCAAATAGTCTCTAGCGGAAATCGACGTCTCATGTCAACGAGGTCAGCCTTGGGATGGCAACATGGGAGTGGGGAACCCCTCCTTTTGCATGGCTTAACAAGGTTCCAGAACCAAATCGTAGCGGATAACAGACCCCTCCACGACTCGCTGATCTGACGCCGTGTAAATATGACGACTACCGACAAAGCTCCATGCTCAAGTAACTCCTACAAATCAAGTGAAATTCACACAGGGTGTCCCCCTAAAACCCTCTGCAAATGAAGTTGGTTGGGTTGGACATTGATCTGGAACGGAGTGAATTGAAAGCTGAGGGGCAGAAAGTACTTTTCCAGGAGAATTGAAAAGTGCTCAACCCGATTCTTGATGGGGGCTGCATAGTATCCCATCCAAGGTTGCTTGAGCCGAACCCCAGCACATAAAGCTAAACATTCTAAGCCTGGTATATTGCTTATCTTGGTCAACATTCAATACTCAACCTGGCATGTCAAGGGCAGATGTGTAGGATTTTACTGAAACAAATGGGTGTTTCTCAACATCAGGGACCGCAGGTGGTTTGTTTCCATGATTTCCTTTCAATCCATGCCAAAAGGGCTCCGTATTTTTGAGGAACACCCAAATCCACGACGTGGGTGTCTGCTCTGACCGCCGCGTGGATTCCTCCAAAGTCGCCCTGACTGCCTGCCTCCTCCTTTGCGACGGCATCGGTGGGTACCTTGGGCTCTTCTTTCACCTTGGGCCGAGAGAACTTGTTGAAGGAAAACAAAGGGAAAATCGACCAATGGGGGGGACCCCTAAAAAAGGAAAACCCCATATGTGTCGTCGCTGTAAACACCTTGGCCGGTTTAGTTGGCGAAGCTCAGTTACTCTACTTGTTTCTCAAGATGTTGGACCCATTGTGGTTGGTCTTTCAAGGGACATCGGAAGAAAACCAACAATTTCAGGAGACCACTGTTTTGAGAACCCACCGGATGCTTTGTTGGCGACCCTTGATTGGTGGATTGGCGGTTTGGCTGGGAATAGATGCCTGCAGTGGTAACTCGAGGCACGGGGGCAGGTTTAGTTGCCAATGATTGGACGTAACTTATAACCAACATCTGAGAGGTTCCAAAAAGGACCGCGCCCAGAGAGCCAAAGCTGTCCAACTATCTCCTCCAACAGCCTAGTGTTCAAAGTTGTTCAACCCGAAAACTGACTCCTGCATTCGCCTATCGCGCCAGCAAGCTAACTCCACGGCTGCAGAACAGAAACCAAAGTCCAGGTAGGGAGCAAAATGGGTTCCGCGTTTTGGACATAGATCGACGAAACCTAAAGTAGTTGAAAACTGGGTCCAAAAAATGCCATCCCCAGAAGCAACCTTCAAATGGCTTAAGGCAGGGGCGCCACCCCAAAAGCAATCTGAAGGATGCCTCAAAATGTTCACTTCAAAGAACTCAGTTCAGCCGGGATTCGGAGGAGGAAGTAACATGAGCTCCTTAATGCTAGTAAACCACCAAGCTGACACACGGGAGACTCCAGTAAGTGAGATGGTGGGGCAGACCTCCCGTCAACCCCGGACAAAGACTTGCTGCATCGAGCCAAGCAGTGTTCAGGATTTCTGGCTGAATTGGCCGCCCCCTTTCAAAAGGAAAACCACCGCCACCCAAGGAAGCCCACCGTTTTCAGGGGTTCCCTATCTTTTGAAGCACCGTCCTGAAGCTGCTGAACACAGGAGCGCCTTGAGCCCACAAAGAACATGCCTGGCGTATGTTGAAACCCAGCCCCTACCTTTGAAGATTCATCCAGAAAACACAAAGGATGGTGAAGGTTTCTACTGTTTCCCATGTTTGAGATAGTTGAATTGATCTCGTTATCGGTTTTTGGCCAGCGACGTTGGACCAGTGGGGGGGCATCTGTCAGACTTGATATGTTCTCTTCATGTTGATCGAACACAAACACGACTGGCGAAGTTGGCCGCACGCACGCCTCGGTCTTCACCTCCATCTTCATTACCTCCCCCTTCACAGGTGCCTGGGGCGTCGGTTCAAAGGCTGGGTTCAACCTTCGTCCCTGTTTCAAGTGCAAGTGCAAGAGAGCCGACAAGCGCGTTTTTTTCAGGCAAAGGCATCCCCGGGGCAAAAGCCCCAGTACAGAACATTAGTCTCGAGCTCGGCGTTCCCCCGAACGACTGAGCTCATGATTTGCACAGGGGTACCTTGCATATTCTTCAGGGATCCTTCTTGCCGAACACAAAAAGCAAAAACCTGGAACGACGAGTTTTCGGGCAAATTAAGGAACACATGAGCGTTGGTTTTTATCCCTACAAACTTGCTTGGACATTATTCAAGCTTCCGCGGACCCTTCCGCATCCTTGCTGCGGGCCAAGAGGTCCCTTCCGCGAACTTCCGCGGCACATGTGTTTCATTGTTTGCTTCCGCAAACCTTCCGCGGGGCATGGTTTACAAGTTTTGCTTCCGCGAGCATTGGCGCAGAAAGGAAAGTCATTTTAAGTGAGATAGTGTTCCGCCGCAGCTTGTGTAGGCTTGGGCTCCATTGGGCTACCCATGCTACTTGGCCGCTTGCCTGCAAACACGGGGCCACCCTTCCGCGGAGCTTCGAGTAAGCGTTACGTTTCTTGTACGCAGCAACACCTTTTCTTCTACTGGAATTGGTTCTCCGAGCTTTTCCATGCACGCACTGAAACATTTAGTTGTATATCAGCCACCAAGCTTCCGCAAACCTTCCGCGAACAAATCTCTTCCGCGAGCCTTCCGCATGCTTCCGCGTGCGGCGCGGCGCACATTTTCAATAATATTGTCCCTCTCCCCACTAAATTAGCTTGCGGGTAAAAAAACCGCCGCTCACATGGAAAACAATAGTCAAGCCCTATGGACAGCTCCCCTTTGCCTTCCCTCCCAAGACTCCCAATGAAAGACCCTCATGTTGCAAACTCCTTCAGCCAAGCGATCCACGAGCTCCTTGGCCCCGTCTCTGAGTCCCTCCGTCCCACGCCTTGGGCAGTTCCTTGAGGCCCTTCAGCTCCGAGTCCTGGCAGTGAAATGGAAGGGGTTCCTCCATTTGCTGAGAAGTCCCCTGGAAAATAAAGAATGTCCAGAAGTCATAGATTCCCTTGGAAACCAACAGGGGACAATTAAAAAAAAAACATCTTAACCAAATGGAAGGGTTGTGCCAAGCAAGCTCTCACGCGCGCGCATTGGCCAAGTCCAAACTTGTTAGTGGCATCTTCTCAATGACATCAACAAGAACTGAGGCAGTGAGCCCGTCTTTTGGGAAAAGGGATAGCCAAGCCTGGAAACCCGAAGAAATCAAACATTCGAATGCTCGTGGCAGAAGTGATGGGAATATTGGATCTTTGAACACCACAGGCAGTCGGGAGGTGCCGACACAAGGTTCCCACTGCAACAGCCCGAGCTCGTCACAAGGCAAGCAAACCATGCCATGCTGCCCATTTTTAGAGAACCTTCATTCTGGGTAACTTGGTTTTCCCACCGAACCGGTGAGCTCGTGGTACTTTCTGCAAAGCTTCCAACTTCCAACATGACCTGGAAGAGCACCTTCCAGATTCTTTCCAGGGATTGTTCTGTCCAGAGCAGACGACTCAAACACCTAGGAAGCAGCCAGACAACAAGATAAGCCCTAGAAAAACGCGTAGCTTTCCCTCTATTCAATCAAAAGCAGGAAGCCTGCAATAAGCGATCACTTAGTGAAGTACCTTCACCCCGGTAGCTCCTTCACCCATGTGAGCTCGAAATAAAACAGGTAGACACAACATTGACTCAAATGTGACGTACTACAGGAGTATAAAACATCAGATTCTCCTTCATTTCAGACTCCAAAGGCTCCATGAGCAATAGTTGCCACATTCAATGCCACAAATTTATCCAAATCTGGGTAAATATCCCCTACGAGCCGGGCATGTGATCGGGATCAACCCAGGGTTGTGCTAACCTCTTGTTCAAACCAGCTTCAGCAGGGTATTGGTTCAACAACCCCTTTCCCCCCAACCTGGCTTTGGGTTTTTCCTTTGACTCACAACAAGACGAGCCACCCAACCTTTGATTGAGGTCGTCGGTTTTGGAATGCCCGGCCGCCCGACTTTGCGCTCGATCCAACGTACTCGCCGGGCGCGCCGTACCCAAGGTCTGCGCTTTGATGTTCTCGAGCTTGGCGTCGCGGTGGGAGGCGAACCTCGGCCGGGACACAGAGAGAAAACGGTAAGGGGCCATGGCCCGCCCCCTTTTGGTTCGCTTTAAGCTATGAATTATTGGGTGTTTAGCACCCAGTTGTAAGAAGTCGCCATTTCTGTGGCAAATGGGCTCTCCATATGACTTTGTGGCCTGTTTCGGGCTTGATGGTAACAGTGCTGTCGGAAATCCTCGAGGTACACCATAATGATCTCAAATGGCCAAAGAAAAAGTTAGTGTCAATTTGAGCTGGAATGGACCCTCAGGCAAAACGTAGACATGTTGCTTTTTTCAAACATCAGGGACCCCTCAAACTGAGAAACTGCGTGGTTCCGTGACATAGGACCCCACATTCTTTGGACTGCCTCCACTTTCCTGGGAAGCTCATGAATGTTGTCCCATAGCATCAACACAAGGTTCCCTACTTCCGAGACACTTCAAATGCTGCCAGCCAATGAAGGACACATCTTTGGGCAAATCGGTTCGGATACAAAGGGATCCCCAGCAATGGGAGGTTGCTTTTTTTTCAGTTCAACACCATCCCTCCAAACAGCCCCTCATGTCCCTCAAGGGTGCATGTCAGGTCGGGTTACACGGGGATGGGAGAGGGGGGTATCCCAGTTAATCCTTGACTTTTTCAGGACCGCCGTTGCACAAAACCAGTCGGGGGACCCGTTGCATGGGTCCTAAACGGGTTGCAAAGGCACGCCGGCTAAGACCCCGCGTCTCCTGGTCATCTGTTGCTATTTTCCTTGTATCTGCCTTTGTTTGCTTCGGCTTTCACTGCGAAACTGATGATATTTTACGGATTGGTTTGGTCGAGTCGCCCCTTTGAGACCTGTCGCATCTGAGATCCCTGGCCCCAACCCCTTCAAGGTGCTGTCGCGGAAGCCTTGCGCCATCTGGTCCTCGTTGCTGGTGACCACCTGCGTCGCGCGAAAAAAAGTGAGCGGGCTCCTCATTATGTGTTCCCGAGCGCATCACCCCACTCAGTTCTTCAGTCACCTTGGAGAAAGAAGGGAACCCTTTTTGGGGAAGACCATTCTTAGTGGGGCAGGAACCAAAAAAGAGGGAAAAAGGGTGTCACTGAACAACGGAGCCCACAAAGCATGCTTTTGGGATCGCAAAAGGGTTATGCATAGGTTGCCCAAGAGAAATGCCAGGATTGGAAAGGCCGTGGGCCATGTTCAACAAGCGCATTCAAGCGGAAGGTACGACACCTTCCTGGCGCCACGGAGGCCTGAGACCGGCTACTGTGCTTCTGACAGTCGGCATGGAGGAGCCCCGAAGCCGGGCTCACGAGTCCATTCTGATTTCGAGGCCCTTGAAGCTCCAAAGGAAGTGCCCGCGTCTCAGTTGTCTCAAATGGCTTCTTGGCTGCTTGGGCTGCTAGCCAAAATACAAGTGCCAGCCAAGTCAATGTAAGGCGAAGTGCCTTGTCTTAAGCACAAGCTGCCTGCCAAGCCCTTGAAGGTGAACGTGACCCCTTTTTGGCTGCACTACCAAAACAAGGCCTGGTTTCTGAAAACCGATTTTACCGGGGCACAGGGCGGAAAGGCTCAAACAGGAAGAAACTGTGTATGTGCCATGAGGGCCATAGGGATTCGGACCAACGGTGGCTTTCCTCTTCTCACTTTCTGAGTTGATGGGCCAAAAAAAGTCCAACCATTTTTGTTTGCCACTGAAATGGTCTTCCCAAAAAGTTTAAAGTCCATGAACTCAGGACGTGAGTGTTTATCCCAACTGCCATTTGCTTCAGCCCCCTGAAAACAAACAAACAAATACATATTCCAGTAGATTCCCTTAAAACCGACAGGGGGGAAATTAAGAAACCTCTTAAGCAAGTGGAAGTTTATCCCGTTTCCCAAGCTGCCTAAAGCCAAAAACCGCCCAGGTCGACGGTTGCCTCTTCGCCCAGCTCGTTCCTCATGACCTTCTTCTGTGGTCCCATGGCCTGAGAAAAGCAAGCGACGAGTCGACGAGTCGTGTGGTCCCTTGACGGCTTTGAAGGGGGAAACCGCCAGGAAACAGGTGCTTTTTTTTACAAACAATGAGGAAACATGTGTTTTTCTTGCGGGTCCAAACCCCAACAAGGAAACCAGCCAGTTTCTCCATCGGATGGTTTGTTCGCAACGGGCTCAGGTGAAGGCAAGGCCCAGGGTTCTTGGCTTAGGATTCTTCAACCCACAGATTCCGATGCTGGTCCCTGGGAAAACGGACACATTGTGTGGTCCAATCCTCCAAAAGGACCCAGTCTGTGGGCACGTGGCTAATGAAACATCCAACCCTGAAAAACCTGCCAGAGGAAGACACTAGAAGGAACATGGAACTATAGACACATTCAGGCGCCGAACCAGACCTTTTGTTAATGCGCCATAAATAACTGCCCCACATCATCACACTATCATGACCACCAGAAGTTAATATCGGACTACCCACAATCGACACATACCGCGCGCAAAACTCGCCCTTCGGGACGGACGGAGCCCTAAAAATTGGCAGGTCGATGGACAGAAATTTTGTCTGTTGCTCATTTCGTCACCAAGCCGGGTCATCGCCGCCTTTCTGACAGGAAACGGCGCGCGTTGGAAAACCCAAGACGCACCAGCTCACTGACGGCTGGGCCAAACCGTTGTTCAAACCTATCTAAAATGGAATCCGTTGGGTTGCCAATTTGTCTGGTGGTTTTGTAACACTTGCCACGAATCTAGCCATCTGGAGAGGTAATCATGGCAAGTCAGCGAGTGCTTGCAGTCAAAGGACCTGAACTAAGACAGGGTTGTGTCCAAAGAAACACCAAACAGGATGCTAAGTCAAATTTGCCCAAAAGGGGATGCTGCAAACCACCAAGAATAAATACAAGAAGCCCTAAGAAAAACATGGCTTGACACTGGAAACCCTGGATCTGATCGACTCGCTCCACTCCAACTACAACAAAGTCGTAAGGGTCCACAAAACACTGAGCCTAAAATCCACCGGGTAGGTTTTGATCCGGGGTCGACACCAATGTCAACTTTCGATTTATCCTGATGTCCGTGCTGATCAGGAGTGACTCCCCATTATGCTTGGCCACATGCAGAACGCAGATTTGCCTGTCTTTGTTGTTTTGCTTCTTTTTAGTCCGCCCTAAAACATAAAATAGTTTTGGAGAAGACCCTGTTTAAGCATGGCTGGGGCCCTCCCCCCGCCGCCCGATTTGTCCGAAGCTACATTTTCACATCCGGGAGGGAGGTGTGAAACTGGCGGGGGGAGATCTGCGATTCTGTTCAAAGTCTCAACCGCACATCCTTGAATTGAATTGGGGCCCATGTATAGTGCGTATCTATCAGTTAGCACTTTTTAGCAGGCGGCACAGTTAGCACATCCCTGGGTTGGCCGGAATGCCCCCGTCAGCCCCGAACAGTTAGCACACACCTGCCACACCCCGAAACCGAAAGGGGCGACCAACAGTTAGCACATGCCTCTCTGGTTGTGGGCAGAGATACGCTTTCTGAAATGAGCAACTTTCGCAATGCAGTACAAGTGTAGTAAAGGAAGCACACTTGGCAGATCCGTCTCAAAAGTCGCAACTTTTCAGTACAAGTGTCGTAAAGGAAGTACACTTTGGCAGCTCCGGCTCGAGAGCCGCAACTTTTCAGCACAACTGTAGTACAGGAAGTACGCATTGGCAGCTCCAGCCCGGACGTCTCAACTTTTCCGTACAAGTGTAGTACAGAAGTACGCATTGGCAGCTCCTGCCCGGAAGTCTCAAGTTTTCACTTCAAGGAAGTATGCTTTGGCAGCTCCGCCTCGAAAGTCGCAACTTTTCAGTACAAGTGTAGTGAAGAAAGTACACTTTGGCAGCTCCGCCTCGAAAGTCACAACTTTTCAGTACAAGCGTAGAAAAGGAAGTACATGTTGGCGGCTCCGGCTCGAAAATCGCAACTTTCCAGTACAAGTGTAGTAAAGGAAGTACACTTTGGCAGGTCGGGCTCAAAAGTCGCAACTTTCCAGTACAAGGAAGTACATTTTGGCGGCTCCGGCTCAAAAATAGCAACTTTCCAGTAGAAATGTAGCAAAGGAAGTAGATTTGGCAGATCCGGCTCGAAAGTCCAGTACAAGCGTAGTAAAGGAAGTACACTTCGGCAGCTCCAGCTCAAGAGTCTCAACTTTTCAGCACACGTGTAGTATAGTGCGTATCAATCAGTTAGCACTTTTTTCCTAGGCAGATAGCACATTACTGTGTTGGCCGGAATGCCCCCGTCACCCCTGAACAGTTAGCACACACCTGCCACACCCTGGAACCCAAAACAGCGGTCAACAGATAGCACATGGGGCTCTCTGGCTTTGGGCAGGCGAACAGGACATCAAAGGGCTACATACGCTTTCTCGAATGTTCATGGAAGCACACGTGTCAAATCTTCACAAAGCGTATATATAGAAACTTGCAGAACCCAGTGAGCCTATGATGGAGGAAGGGTGTGCGGTCGACTGGCTTACATGGAGCTTGCGTGGATAGGTGATGCTTTACTTGGCCCTAGTACTTTGTTGAACGTTATTATTGTGTTACAGTGCTTTTGAACTTTGGCAGCTCCGGCTCAAAAAAAGCAACTTTGTAGCACAAGTCTAGCTACGCGAAGTACACTTTCGCAGCTCCAGATCGAAAATCCCAACCTTGTAGCACACAAGTCTAGCACGCGAAGTGCACTTCCGCAGCTCCAGCTCGAAAATCGCAACTTTGTAGTGCAAGTCTAGTGCGCGAAGTGCACTTCCGCAGCTCCAGCTCGAAAATCGCAACTTTGTGGTACAAGTCTGTGCGCGAAGTACACTTCCGCAGCTTCAGCTCAAAAATCGCAACTTTGCAGTACAAGTCTAGTACGCGAAACACACTTCCGCAGCTCCAGCTCGAAAATCGCAACTTTGTAGTACAAGTCTAGTACGCGAAGCACACTTCCAAATCGCAACTTTGTAGTGACACTCTAGTGCGCGAAGCACCCTTCCGCAGCTCCAGCTCGAAAATCGCAACTTTGTAGTACAAGCCGAGCACGCGCGAAGAACGCCTTAGCGTTTTACGGCGGCCACGCAAGGGTCCCACCCCAACTAAGCTGCAACTGCAGGGTTTTTTGTAGAGCCACGTGTTAACTAACGGTTCTCGTTTTTGGGGGAGACCTTATCGTTGTCCGTGGCTTTTTGGAGTCGTAGGCCAAAGTGTACCCCCTTTACCAAAGTGGTCTACACGTGTTTTGTCCGTGGCTCTTTTGTGTCCCACGACTCCCCAGGGTGAAAGACAAGAGCTTGCCAACATACAAATGGATTGCCAGGTGCCAAATTCTAGCGCGTTGACGTGTGGAAATCCAGCAATGCAGCTCTGGCTTGCAAGTCGCAACTTTTCAGTACAAGCGCAGTCAAGGAAATACACTTTGGCAGCTCCGGCTCGAAAGTCGCAACTTTTCAGTACAAGGAGATACACTTTGGCAGCTCCGGCTCGAAGGTCGCAACTTGTCAGTGCAAGTGTAGTAAAGGAAGTACACTTTGGCAGCTCCGCCTCGAAAGTCACAACTTTTCAGCACATGTGTAGAGTAAAGGAAACGCACTTTGGCAGCTCCGGCACCAAAGTCGCAACTTTTCAGTACAACTGTAGTAAAGGAAATACACTTTGGCAGCTCCAGCTCAAAGGTCGCAACTTGTCAGTACAAGTGTAATAGACAAAGTACACTTTGGCAGGCAAACGTACAAACGCTCGGGCTCCCGCTTGGGGCGACACGGATGCCACGCAACAGGTGTCAGCAAAAGGAAGAGCAACCGCGTTCGAGTTTCTGCTCGGGCCGAGCACGGGTGCCGCGCAAGGGCACAAGCAAAGGCAAGCGAAGCCACGCTCGGAATCCCGCTCGGATCCTGCTCGGATCCCGCTCGGGCCGAACGCGGATGCCACGCAAAGGCGTCAGACCCTCTTGCGGAAGCCATACAGTTAGCGCACGCCAGACGCTCTTGCACCTGGCTTGGCCATGTCAGCCAGCCAGGATGCAACCGCGCTGCTCTTACAGTATTTGCCGTTTCCTGCAACGGCAGCCCAACTGTCTTGATAATTGAGTTTCGCTTTGGGATTCACAAACAACGGGCCCCTAAAAGCCTGGCAACTCCACCCCTGAAAGCCTGGCAACTCCAACCCTAAAGCAATGCTTCCTGCGACTTGAAAGGGCGCCCGTAGAATAAAACAACACTATCAAGAAGCTTGCATTGTCCGAGTTTTGCGTCCAACCGCAAACACGTTATCGTAGCAAAACGGTTGGGCCACCAAGTTTCGAAGTGAAGCTGACTTGGGCACCGTGCACAAGCTTTACCCGCAAGACAAAGACAAGTCCATAATCATAAAAAAACACCGTGCCCTGGTTTTACTCTTGAAAGCCCACAAGTTTCGCCGGGGCCGCGCCCGCAAACAGGCTTGGGATCCTGCTCGGGCCGAGCACAGACGCCGCGCAAAGGCGCTGGTAAGGACCAAAGCAAAGCAGACATGCTCGGGATCCCGCTCGGGCCAAACACGTGCGCCGTGCCAAGGTGCAGGTAAGGACCACCGCAGCCACGCTCGGGAGTCCACTCAGGCCAACTATGGATGCAGCGCGCAGGCGTAGCCCGCTCGGGATGCCGCTCGGCTTGAGCACGGGTGCCACGCAACGGCAAGAGCAAAGGCAAGCGAAGCCAATCCCGCTCGGGGCGAACGCGGATGCCACGCATAGGTGTCACTTGCGGAAGCCATACAGTCAGCACACGCCAGATTCTCTTGCGCCTCGTTTGGCCGTGTCAGCCAGGACTCTTCGCATTACGCTTGCCAACGCGCTTCTCCTACAGTACTCTCCGTTTCCTGCAACGGCAGCCCAGCTGTCTTGATAAGTGAATTCGGCTTTCGGAAGTACAAAGAACGGGCAGCCTAAACTCCACCCCTAAAAGCCTGACAACTCCACCCCTAAAGCAATGCTT